TACTTTTAGCTTTGGGGAAATATTAGTGGTCTAAACATACCCCTGATATTTCCCTTTTAAAATAGAAAAAGAGATTGAGAACACAGAGTCCTAAATCTCTTTTTCTGTCCTTGTTATCAATGAACAGGAATCCTTTATGAGTTTTCCTGTTCATTGATAACATGAGAATATAGTGTGTTTACTATAACTACAATTATGAATGAACAGGAGTGGATATAGATCACTCCCATTCATTCATAATTGAGGATACAGTAACCATCCACAATTATCTATCACTGAGCGATCACTGATTATTTGCTCTCGCTCTCCTCTCTGACACGCTGTCACAGGAGGCTGAGCGAGCAGTGCATGGAGGAGAGCCAAGCCTCCTGTGACAGCATGGGCTGTCCCCGCCCCCACACCGCTCTGACGGACTGTGATAGGAGGCTGAGCAGTGTGGGAGGAGAGACACTGGTCGCTCACGCCAGCTGTCACTTTCCCTCCTCCGCGCTGGGACAAAGAGCAGCGCCCAGCGGGGAGGAAAGAAATCACGGCTGCACCGACAAAACAGCAGGAAAGTGGCACTTTCGGCATTTAGCCAAAAGTGCAATTTTCGGCTGGCGCCCCCCCTTCAGATTTACGCCTGGGGCCAGCGCACCTGCCCCCGGGTTCTTACGCCACTGTAGGAAGGGGACCCTTTGGGCACTCTCGGATGTAAGGGGGGACTCTTCTAGGCACCCCTGGATGTAAGGGGCACTCTGCTGGGCACTCCTGGATATAAGGGGAACTGTTTAATTAATTCAATTGATTTTATTCATTTATATTGGCCTGTGAAAAGTTCTAAAATATATGATGTGGCCCTTGTGCTAAAAAGTTTGGAGACCCCTGAACTATACCATTGTTCTACTGCTATTAGTAAATATTAGTTTGCTACTTGTCGATCACTGTGCTTAAAAGAGGTTTAGGAAACTTTACAGACTGTACCATTTTTCAGTGATTGATACACCTATCAAATTGTTCTTTAGGTTGAAAAAGTGAAATGTCAATCAAGTTCAGTCTCTCAAAATCTCCAAGGGTTCTGTAAGAGTAAGTCTTGGATTTTTGCCTTTGTAACACATCAAGTTATAACTGACAACATGAGATGGTGGTAAAACATAAAAACTGTAGTAGTGCCATGTAGTCCACCTAGTCATTATCTTTGATCATCAGCCTACATGCATGAGTGTCCTTGGAAATGATTCGAAATTGTTAGCACCTATATACCAATTGTCAAAGCTACAGTATAATGCCTATGACCTCTTCCAAATGACTAAGTCTGTATTGGAAAGCAACATTATTTACATCAGGAGCCACTTGCCATTTTTCTTGAAATAGTAAAGTTGGTCATAGATGCACAATCCTGTGTTAACTTAATATGTACAAGCCTTATTCTGTACATGCCTGGCAATGTCCTCTTCACTGCTTATAAGGGAAGAAATGGAAGAAGGGGTATATACTGTGAAGGGAATTTATCAAAATTAGAGCAGAGAAAATCTGGAGCAGCTGTGCACTGCAACCAATTATCATCTCTCTTTCATTTTTAAACCTCTACTGAACAGAGATGCTGATTGGTTGCCATGCACAGTTGCTCCAGATTTCGTCATCTCCAGTTTTGAGTTTGTTTATATTTGCTCTTAGCAGTGACAAATAAAAGATCACTTTAAAAACTCCAATGTTTGTGATTGTTGTTGTAGAGTGAAAGAGAACAAGGCAGAACTACGAGTCAATCAGGTTCTACAGCATTGCACAGTGCAATCTAGCACAGGTAGCTTGTTAATGGAAGGAGCGAGCAAAAGGAAGACATCATCTCAGTGCTGTGCTGCTTTTTCATTATCCATTCAAAAGAGTGAGTAACTGACACAGCTATATTGCTTAAAGCAGAACTCCGGGCAAATCAAACCCTTGCAGTCAGGGCAGCCTTCAAAAGTTTTGGGGCCCCTTACACAGCTTAAGGCCTGGACCCCCCTCCGCACCGCCGCCCCCCAATGCCGTCACACTGAGCCAGTCACATCAGTCTCTGTACAGAGGAGCTTACCCTCTAATGTCCCCTCCACAGTCACATCAGTCTCTGAACAGTGGAGCTTACACTCTAATGCCCCACCCCCCACAGTCACATCAGTCTCTGTACAGAGGAGCTTACCCTCTAATGTCCCCTCCACAGTCACATCAGTCTCTGAACAGTGGAGCTTACACTCTAATGCCCCACCCCCCACAGTCACATCAGTCTCTGTACAGAGGAGCTTACCCTCTAATGTCCCCTCCACAGTCACATCAGTCTCTGAACAGTGGAGCTTACACTCTAATGCCCCACCCCCCACAGTCACATCAGTCTCTGTACAGAGGAGCTTACACTCTAATGTCCCCTCCCCCACAGTCACATACTATTATTATACATTTACATAGCTCTCGGCTTAGTGACGTGCTGGACTCCGGTATACACCAAGGTATACACCAAGGTATACACCAAGATGGCAGTGCAAACATGTTCAGGTTCCGCCATCTTGGTGTATACCAAGATAAACTCCAAAATAGCGGCATGTGCAGAACACGCTGGCGGCCGATACGGCCGCTGCTCAATCTGCAATCTCTTTGTGCGGTTTCGGATTCGGAGACTCAATGCCTCTAAATCCAAAACAACATTAAAATTAGTTTCCTTTGACGAAACAAATAAAAATGTTTCTCATTTTCATTTGTTTCGTCTGAACCGAATTTGCACATAGGCGCATACAACGCGTGTTTGCGTTGTATGTGCGTGGACGTGGGGGGCCGGGGACTGCTTAACTGCTTGCCGTCCGCCCGTTGTGAAAAAATGGACGGACAACAAACTCACATAGGCGGGTTGCAGTAAGTAGATGGCTTTTTTTCTGCTCGCGCGCGCCCGGGCAGGAAAAACCCATCCGGCTGTTTGATATATAACCGATCGGCGGCTCTATAGCCGCCATACGCTTGTATGTTGTGGCTGCGTGCCCCCTCACCCTCCTAGAGTGCCGCCACCCCCTCCTGCACCCTCACCTTCAATCCTGGGATCCGCTACCCCATCTGCGGCCCGGGACCGGCTCGGAAGGGTGTCAGGAGGAAGATGGGAGGGAGATCAGCATCTTCCTCATTGCTGATCTCACTCAGTACTGTGAATGCACAAGTGATGTGTAATACATCCGCATTCACCTGTCAGTCATCTGGCTGCTATAGCCAGAGAGAAGAAGCTGGGGGAGCAGATCTCTGCTCCATCAGCTTCTTTGGGGGTTCCCAGGTGACATTAGGGGTCTTAGAGACGCAGGGCCCAGGAGGGAGCACTGCCTGCTGTCAGGATGGCTGAGCGGTGAGGGGGAGAGAAGCCCGCAGCTTTCAGGATGGCCAAGCGGGGAGGAGATTGGAGCCGCTGTCATCCTGTCAGTTTCAGGATGACAGCGGCTCTGTGCGTGGCAGAGCGGGGGATCGGTAAATAGCAATGATACTTACTGGGGACACATAGTGCTATGTGTCCCCTGTTATGAATGACCAGGCTGTGATTTACATCAAAGCCTGTTCATTCAAGATTTCCTCAATGGGGAGAAGCACTCTGTACAGAGGCTTCTCCCCATTCAGAACCTGATGATAGTAAATATTTTCAGAATGAATGGGAAGCCTCTGTGCTGAGTGCTTCCCATTCATTGAGTGCTGAGGCTGCTGAAAAAGAAATTGAGGATTTGGTGTCCTCAATTTCTTTTCTATTTTAAAAGGGAAATGTCAGGGGTCTGTTTGGACCCCTAATATTTCCCCCAAGGCCCCCCAAAAGTACAAAATAAATAAATAATAAAAAAAATAAAAATTATGAAAAAAATACAAAATGTAAACAAATATTTTAAAAAAGTGAAAATTAATTTGAGATGAAATGAAAGAAAACTAAAAAAGTTCATTTGTTTCATCAAACAAAACACTTTTTTATGCTATTTTGGATTCAGCCATTGGCGTGTTCTGGAGGCAGGGCGCATGATGTCATATAACACCGCACGTGTTGGGCGCCGCCATCTTGATGTATATGTAGGTATACACCAAGATGGTGGGGCCAATATCGGCGTGTGACGTCAGTATACTCAGTATACTCGCTGTAGCTCGCGATATACTGATCTTTGGGTCACACTTACCCCATAGTTCTCCTTTAATTGTAGTGGAGTAACTAGTCTATTTATGCACTGTGGCACATGCCCTTGATCACGGGAGTATCTCAACACATTCACAAATCTTTTAGCAAGAGGGTTCATATGTTTGTATTTCACTTATGTAGCAATGTAATTGTTTGCCAGGAGTTCAGCTAAAGAAGTCTATGCTCACACAATTTTCTGCACTGAAAAATGATGGTCACCAAAAGGGCACATAGAAAATAATTGTTTTCTGTGTGGCCAGTTCACACCAACGCAGGTGTGATGTGCAGAGTGCTGCACTGTGGAGAAAATGCAGACATGCATTTTTCCACAGCACACTGGATGGCGCCGCTTCTCAACGTAGTGCAGCACTGTGCAGGGATCTGCATAGAGTGTACACTTTTTTTACACTCCAAAATAAAGCAAATAAAAAAAAAGGAAGTAAACTGTAATGCGCTGAAACTGCACACCTGCTGGACTCAATAGCACACTAGCCTGCCTGCTAAAATGGAGCATTTTAATGGGAGGCCTAGAGTGAAACTAGCCTAAACCCAGTGGGTAGTTTTTATTAAACTTTTGGTTAAATATATCTTTAATAAAAAGAAAATTGATCAGTTCATTTTTGAGTTGATACGTTTGTCGCATTAGACATAACTGTAACCAAACCTTTTGTTTATACATAATGTTCAGTGAGACAGAAACACTTGTGAACTTTTCATTTACATGGTTTTTAGTAAAGGCAAAGGTAAAATGGTCTTGAAGAGAAAATGGAAAGCCATTAGCCCATTTCCATTACACAATTAAACTGAAAACGAGTAAAAATTGTTTTCTTAGAAAGCTCTCTTTTTTTTTTTTTTTTACAATTGATAAGTTTTTTTTATTTTTATGCATTGAATATTCTTGATGTTTGTGTATATTGGGAAGGATTATATAAAGTATCAGATTTTCTGAACATAATTTCCTGGGAAAAGTCCTTCCTTTCCATGGAATCTTCCTTTCCACCAGCCAGAAACATCTGAAAATACAGCAATGTTAATGAATACAATTGGAGTCAGAGAATACATAATTCATTCTTATATATATATATATATACCCTAATAGTTAGCATATATCTACACTGTAACTACTACACTGGACATAAACTTGCTGACTTTTCAACATATGTCACAATGTTTTGAACATCACTTTAATGAATCTGCCAGTGTAATTAACAATTTGAAGCTGAACACGAGGCAGACATACAAGACATGTCAATGCAGTTATTTATTCATTAACCCCTTCGTGACGGGAGACGTACAGTGTACGTCCCGTCACAAAGTGGCTATATGACTGGCCACGTACACTGTACGTGCCGAGTTATATTAGCCTCTGTAATGCTGGTAACTGCTGATTCTCAGCAGTTCCAGTCAATCTTCAAATGCATATTTTATAGCACTGCAAAGAAGCAGTCAGTTGTGCGGCAATGCTCATGCGCTAGCAAGGGACGTGCTGATAGAGGGAGAAAGCAGAGAGACAAAGCGATGAACTGATCAGTCTGCCGTTTCTTCTTTTATTGTCCAGTCACAAGCTGGGGGAGGTACAAGTTCTGCCTTAAACTGAACTATAGGATTTTGGATTCTTGGGAGCTTTTGTGATCATGTATGCACCACATATTGGCACACTTATCTAGCAATGTGCCCTGTGCGAGAAAGCTTTACAGCGCCCCTCAGTGACCACACCCCTCCGTGGCCACACCCTTTAGCGGCCACACCCCCAGTAACCACACCCATTTCCCCCAATATCCGCACCATTTAAAGACTCCTATTTTGTTAAGCCGCAAAGAAACATTAATAAGTATGATAAAAATAAAACTTTTATTCAAAGGTATTAAACTTGTTGGCACAATAGAAGTATTCTTATCAAATAAAACAACAGAAGGCAAACAATAAATGTCAAAATACAATAGAGTCTATACAAATAAAGTGTCAGTTTGTCATGCCGATCCTTTTTTCAAGTCAGTATATCTAGAAAAATAAAAATAGAACACAGAACCCGGACTACTTGTAAATTAATGAATTACTATATGTCCGAAATATACGAGAAATGTATTCAGGCACATAATAATAATAATTTGTTTGAGAATGTGCGGCGGCCGTGTTGGCCCCCGGCGTGTTCTGTGAATGTGTGCCACCATCATAGAGGCGGGGAGCATGACGTTACATGACGCCATGCATGCGTGGCGTCAGGTGACGTCACACACCGATATTGGCCCCACCATCTTGGTGTATATCTAGATATACACCAAGATGGCAGCTCCCAACACGTGCGGTGTGATATGACGTCATGCACCCTGCCTCCAGAACACGCCACTGGCTGAATCCAAAATAACATAAAAAAGTGTTTTGTTTGATGAAACAAATGAAAACTTTTTTAGTATGCACGGCTCCCACAACCCTAAGGCCGGCCCTGTTGACATATATATACCGCAGTGTTGTACAAAGAACACTGAGCCAGTCACATCAGTCTCTGTACAGAGGTGCTTACACTCTAATGTCCCCCACAATCACACACTAAGATTATACATGTATATAGCTCTGACATATACCGCAGCGCTGTACAGAAAACACTGAGCCAATCACGTCAGTCAAGCTTGTAGCGGTGGAAGCAAAAAAAAGTGGTGTGCAATATAGTGAAATGTAAAATTATACAGCACAATGCAGAATACCATCAGCTATAGAGGAATACAACAAATCCCAGAAATACATTTATGCTTGCACACACTTCAAGCAACTTTACTTTCTCCCGAGATCTTGGGACTGTCTGCAGCTGCCGTTCTCCCACGTTGCAGTCTCCCTGCAACAACGTGATCATCTTGGTGGGCAGCAGCGGGAGATAGCTCAGAGCTGAAAGAGGCGGGGAAGAGGTGCGGCATGTGGCGTGAAGCGCGCGGTGCGCGTGGAGCCGCAAACAGGGGCAACTAATCGAAAGCCGACTAATCGATGATGGAAAACATTGACAACATTTTCCATCATCGATTTTAATCGACTTAGTCGATTAGTTGTTTCAGCCCTGGTCCCATCAGTCTCTGTACATAGGAGCTTACACTCTAATGCCCCCCCCCCCCACAGTCACATTACCCACTGGATGCAGGGCTTCGTGACCCGCTGGACACAGGGTTTCGTGACCCACTGGACACTAGACATGTGCACCGGCAAAAAAATTGTTTCGTTTCATCTTGTTTTGATTCGGATTTTGCGTTATTTAGTTTTTCGGGATGCGGACAAAATTCGCTAGCGGTAGTCTGTACGAATGTTCATTTCCGTTTCATGTTCATATCGTTCGTTTCATTGCAGCAAAGTTAATTTTTTTTTTTAATTGTCACTTTGCTGCAATGAAAATTCGTCCACAAACAAAAATGCGTACAGACTACCGTTAACGAATGTTGTCAGGAAAATTAATTTTTCCAAAACGAATGGCACATGTCTACTGGATGCAGGCTTAGGGTTAGTTCAACCATAAGCAGTGCGCCCTCCAGCTGCAATGTGATTGCCCGCATGGGAACGCAAGGCACATTGTGCCTGCAGTGCGTTCGGGTGCGGTGCAATCAAAACAGTGCTTGCAGCATTTTAATCGCACCGCACCCGAACGCACTGCAGGCACAATGTGCCTTGCAACCCATGCGGCAATCGCATTGCGGCCGGAGGCCGTGGCTACGGCGCCATTCACTTCAATGGCCTGCCAGGTCCCCTCCTGCCCGGCCCAAAAGTGAGCTGGCCGCAATGCGATGCAGTGCGTTCCAGCCGGAACGCACTGCAAGTGGTGTGATCCGGCGTTAAAACGGTACCAAGAACACGGCTGCAGGAGAAGCCATATTCTTGGTATAACCACTTCCAGCGGAGCACGTACATTTACATGAACCCGCGGGAAGTGGTTAAAAAAAACACACACGTAATGAAACACACATATCACACACTCAAAACACACACACACACACACACACAGCTTCATTAATTAAAAAAAGTCACACACACACACATTTAAAAAAACACACAATAAAAACACACACAACTTATAACAATAGGCCTCCACCTCCTGCCAGTCACCTGTACGGCCGTCGGCCGATACTCATGTAAGGTTCCCAGGCCCCTCAGGCTCATTAATATAGTTCATTGAACTAAACATTTGGAATATTACTGTACCAATCCGTATCTAGCTTCACCAAAACAACATCTCCCATACACTGTAAAGATATTGCTATGCTGTTAATTAGCAGGTAACACATTGCACATACATTCCTATGTCTTTGTGCTGCATGAGGAATAACAGGTAAATTCATTAACCCCTTAGTGACCAAGGCCTTTTTTTCATTTTTTTGTACCCATGATATAATCCACATTTTAGGCCTGAAAATTACTTCAACAGACAGCCTGCTTCTGACAGCTGGGCGGAGCCAGCCGTGATCTTATGGCTGGCTCGGCCCCTTGCAGAGAGATCAGCGTCCCTGGTTACCAGCTAACCAGGGACACTGATCTCCAGACAGCCTAACTCTCCCGGGCGCTCCGGGAGTCTCCAGCTCCCAGCCGCCCAGGAGAGAAACACTGCTTTTTCCTTCTTCTTTTTTTTTTATTCTGACACGGAGCCGTGTCAGAATAAAAAAAATAAACATTTTCCCCATAGGAATGCCTTGCTAGATTCCTATTGGCTATTTCAATTTGCAATAGCCAATAGCAAACTAGCTATTGTACCCGCCCACTGCTGCAGTTCTCCATCAGGTCCCCACTAGTGATTGACAGCAGCAGAGGGCGGGTACAATAGCTTGTTTCCTATTGGCTATTGCAAATTGAAATAGCCAATAGTAATCTATGGCAAAAATGTTTTTTTTTTCGTTTTTTGACGGCAGCAGAACCGCCGGCCAATAGAAAACAGTTGAGCGGAGCTAGCTATCACTGCTAGCTCTGCACAATCATTTTTTCTACTTTTTAAACTATTTTTCTGTTCTGCTCGGTCCCACGGAGGGGCATTCGGCTATTCACTCACTGCTATTCGGCATCTATGAGAATAGACCGAACAGCAGCGAGTAGCCGGCCGGAGGTTCGGCTTAGCCGATCCAGATGTTGGATCGGCTGAGTCAAACTCCTTCTGCACTTCGGGTTGGCCGAACATGCAGAGCATGTTTGGCCGACCCGAAGCCACGCGATGTACGGCTGATTTCTGCCGATATATGGCTGATTTCTGCCGATATATGGCTGAAATCAGCCGTACCAGCCTGAAGTGAATAGCCGAACAGCGTTCGGCTCACTTCGCTTTAGGTCGGTCATTCACTCGGCTGTGAATAGACCCCTCATGTTTTACAAAATATAAAAGACGAGGAAGATGAGTAAATAGATACCCAACATGGCCAGGTTAAAAATTGTATGCGTCCGTGAAACTGCAACAAAATTCAGTACCCCAAAAAGTCCATAGATGATGCTTTAAAAGCCCCACTGGTCATCAGTTTATAGATATACATAAATATTGGCCTTATAATTATTGCTCTCACTTCGGCGTGCATGAAGATACCCAACATGTGTAGCGCGATTGTCGTTTTCATACGTAGGCGCACCCAACGCGTGTTTACGTGAAGACGCACGGGGGACTTTAAAAACATTTTTACATTCTTTTTACATTTATTTAATTAAATATTCATTTTAAAAACTTTCTAACATTTTTAAACTTTACTTCAATTGCTATCACATGGGGGGCCAACAAGCCCCCCGTGTGATAGCAGATTGGAAGTGACAGGTACTCTTTAAGGTGATGCTGGGGATCCAAATGCCCCCATTGGTTGATTTACTAACCTTATAAACACGCCACGAACAAGTATACACCTCTGTAGTGTGTTCCCTCCCAGCATGATCTATTGGTGGAATCTAGACACCTTTGTAGTGTGTACACACCCAGCAGGTGTGTTGTGCAAAGCCCTGCATGAATTGCAAGGTGATGTTGTGTAAATTAGCTCTACGTTGTGTTGCTTGCGTTGATGAATGCAGGAATGTAAATGCATGAGCTAACCATTTTTGTCTAAACTGTGAAGCAGCATTATATATGCATCATGTGCATGATTTTTCCATATATGGCATTAGTGGAAATATGCTTTTAGAGACTTTTTGGTTGATAAATACGTTTTGCTGTGTAAAAATCACACGCACCTAGTGCGTGCGTCTGTTTAGGTTAGTAAATCACCCCCCTAGTGTAACCTTTATACTCCAAAATAAGCTACTGAAGTCAATGACAGCTATGGGACCGGATGTGATATAATCTGCATCACTCTCGGTCCCATAGTACGTTGGGGGGGCCCCGTTTACAGGGCTCGGAGAAGCGATCGGGCGACAGCTGAGTCGCCTGATCGCTTCTGTTGTAAAGCCGACAGTCAGCTTTACAATTGTAAACAGAGACGCCTGGAGTCTGTTTAAAGAGGCCCTGTGCTAGTGACGTACTATGGACGTCACTGGTCACTAAGGGGTTAGGTATAATGTTTTCTGATTGGTAATACCACTTTTGTCACGGAACAAAATGACCACTGCTTGCTACTCACCTTCCAACAAAATTTCAATAACATCATTAACATTAAAGCTTAGCTCATCAACATCCTGTCCAATATACTGGTAAATAGCTCTGCAGCGAGGGTTAACAGGCTTGGCCTGAGCTTTCGGTTGGCCTACTGCAGGTGGTTGTCTCTGACCGATACTCTTTCTCCTATTTACCCTGCAAAGCAAATCAGGTAATGAAAGAATCATAAATGTTCTTATTCACAAAACGGTATTGTATTTTGTGGGTGAACACAAAATGAACACACCTTGATAAAATGGACCTTTAAGAACTAGCTATATATTTAGGGTCTTCTCCCTATGCTGGTGGAGTGAGTTCCTACATCACCCTGACATCAGGGACCCCGTATATCAGCATCTCACTCATACTGAGAAGGAGGACTCATGATAAAATGCCACTTCTAGCAGTTCTCTTTTTCTTCCTACTTTCTCTGACTGGTGTTGGTGATTTGCCATGAATGTCTTGAATGTAGGATGGGAAAAGGAAACATACAGTAGTTTGAATGGCGAACATTTATTCACCATTGAAACAACTCCCTCTCCATTAGGGCAATATAATGAACACGTTCTTCACCTGATTTTAAGATTTAAATTGACTGTCTAATTAATCATTATGTTACAGAACTGCTCTTCTGACAAATGGATTTCATGATCATGCAGTTATAGCTGCCCTTGCTTTAAGGCAGGGGTGGGAAAGCTGGATGAATATCCAATTAAAAGGAATTGTTAAAAACCCTGTCAGTTTTTTTTGCCATCTGTGTCTCCTTGGTAAGATTTATTTTGACTTCCTGCCCTATAGACAGAACAGGAAGTTAGAGGAAATCTCTCTAAAATGAGAGAAATCCCCTCTTAGACAGCAGCTCTTTGGGACACTTGTTTTAGTGAAAATGCATCAAACAAGATTTGCCCAACATCTGCTCTTCTTCAATGGCAAATGGGCAATGCTTTATTGTACTATTCATCCTGTTTATTATTAAGTAAATGTCGATTTGTGCTGAAATTTGCCCAATTATAGGCCATTTTCTATTTGCACAATATTTAAACTATTACCTAGTTTGGAGTGGGGAATGATGTTCTCTAATGTTTTTTTTTTCCTTGCAGGCTGATATCACCATAGTGCAGCTCTGCTATGATGATACCAGCTTACATGCCCTTCAGCATTGGTGGGAGGGGGCATGTTTTGAGAGGGGTTGTCCCAAAAAACAGGGGGGGGTCCCCTACCAAAGCATTGGTGCCCCCCAATGCTGATGGGTACTGGGCTCTTCAGCACTTTTGGCATTCACTCACTCCCTGGTAAAACTAGTTTTAGGGGTTGCTCAGACCCCAATCAGTGCATTGCTGCATCCAAGTAAGTGAAAGTAAAAAATAAATACACAACACACAATAAAAATACTTTGTTAATTGAATGACTAATTGAACTATAACTAATATTTATCTTTCCAGGTTCTAGCCAGGGCCGGATTTTCCACAAGGCCAACCAAGGCCCGGGCCTTGGGGCAGCAAGGAGTATAGGGGCAGCAGGGGTGTGGAATTCCTATTTCCCGTAGTTGGTAGTTGTTTTCTACATTTAGCCCTGCTTTGGGCAAGCAGGGCTAAATGTACAGCGGAGAAGCCTCTGCTTGTTTTGTACAAGTGATCTTGGTGGTCGCTGAGATCACTTGTATGCAGCCTGCAGGTCTGCCATTCTTTATGGGATGGGGGTGGGGGGGTTGGAGGGTAGGGGCGTGCATTGAGGAACTAGGCCTTGGGGCAGTAGAGACAGTAAATCCGGCCCTGGTTCCAGAGATGTCCAAAGATGCCCTGCCGCATATGATCCAGTGCTGGCAGGTCAGAGGAAGAAGGAACTTCTCAAACTCTCATTTGAGAAATGCCAGATGTCTTGCTACTGGCATTCATTATTTCCCAGGGAACTCTAGGGATTGATTTCCCTGTGACTTCATTCCATATATTTAATAAAATATGCTACTGATCTACAAACACACCTTACATTTTCTAAAGACTCAAAATATCTTATTCAAAAGATCACTTGTCTAATATTTCACAGACCAGTATAATATGCAGTAGAAGCCTCTGAAACATTGTGGGTTCACTTAATCTGTGTAAAATACTGTATGTATTGGTCACATAGGCCTAAGTAGTTAACAGTCCTGCATCAGTACATGGATTTTAACCCAAAATGTAAATAAGGAAATAATAACTTACCCAGCAACTCCCTGGTCTGGTACATTAAGGAACTCCATGTTGTGGTCAGAGGTTGCACGGCTTTTCCTAGGTGCTGATTGTCGAGGGAGGGCAGAAGAAGGTGGAGCTCGGGGCTGCCTCTTAGCCTGAGAATATGTAGGGTTTCTGGAATGTCCAGAATTAAACTGAGGAGCCCCATTTCTAACGGAGCCTATGAAAGGGAGTTATAAGTAAGTTCTCAATAACACAGAAAGTTATAAGGATGGTAACAGTTCTGGAAATTCTTACCAGGAGGAGCAGGAGCTGGGCGATTTGGTGGTGGTCTGTTTGAGCGAGTTTGTATATTTTCTTTTCTTGTAGGCTCTAAATAAGATATTATATTAATATTATTTTATTTATCAAAACAAACTTTACTTTTAGCCATGTCTATATTACAGACTTGATAGCAATGTGTTTTTACTTTGTCATCTGGAAATAGCTTGTTCTGTAGTGCTCTACACGTAGGACCCCAGGTGTTTTTCCACAAATAACAAGGAATTTTAAGTTCTTATATTTAATTTATAAATTACAGGTATTTATATAGCGCCAACAATTTACATACTGCACATTCACATCAGTCACTGCCCTCAAGGAGCGTACAATCTAAGGCCAATTTAGCTTCCAGCATATCTTTGGAGGAAACCAGAGTCCCTGGATGAAACACACTCAAACACAGGGAAAACATGTAAACTCCCTTAGGAGGAAACCGGAGTCCCTGGATGAAACCCACACAACACAGGGAAAACATGTACACTCCCTTAGGAGGAAGCCAGAGTCTCTGGATGAAACCCACACAACACAGGGAGAACATGTAAACTCCCTTAGGAGGAAACCAGAGTCCCTGGATGAAACCCACACAAACACATCCTGACCAGGATTCGAACCAGGGACCCCCAGTGCTGCAAAGTAGAAGTGTTAACCACTAGGCCACTGTGCTGTGCTTATATTTTATTGTCTTTCCATTTGACTGATTAGGCTATAGTTTCAGTTATTATCACATTGTTTTACATAAAGTTATTTTTTATGACTTTCAATTTGTACAAGCTTGTATTTTTAATTTAATTAAAAGTAGGGATCTTTTTTAGATAAGCCATTAGAGGGAACGCTTAAAGAGGAACTTTACCCATATCTTCAAAATAACAACAAAGTCACCTTTGGAAAAGTATTTTTTTCATACCTTATTCTTCTTCCCCAATCTTCTGACAGCGGTCATTATATCTAAGGGCAGGTTGCTAGATCTCCCTTTACTTCCTGGAACTCTGGCACATGTGACTAGACATGTGACCATGCACATCATCTCAGGGGAGGAAAATGCCTTTCTTGAGATCTAATGAGATTACAGATGAGATTTCCCAGCAATGTTCTGCTGATGTAACCTTCCCAGGATGCAACGCTTGGGCACGATTACTTAATTTGTGCCAAAGTGGACCAGGAAGTGGCAAAAAAAGAAATTGTAAATAAAGTGAAAATATGTTTATTTAGCTAATGAATGTAAGATTATTTCATTGATTTTATATCAGCATGCAGAGCTTAATGCTGATGTGATTTTTAGTCAAAGGGGGTAAAGGTCCACTTTAAGCTGGGTATACACTGATAGTGTTTCATGCTAAAGTTTATAGTACAAATCTAATCAGAACACTTGATAATTCCATCAGAGACTTGTAGAATGTCGTTCAAAATGTTTACATTCAATTTTGTAATAAATGGAGTTTCCCCAATGAAACCTACTTTCACAGTTAAAATTATTTTCATTAGTAAAATATTTTCCATCCTGCTTCTTTGATTTTTTTTTGTCACTATGGTTAAAGTCAATTCGACCCCATTAACTATTAGAAAAAGGATTGAACATTCCAAAACCAAGACAGCATTTGAAGATTTGTGTGTAAACGGGGTAGGAGGGACCTATAATATATCTACATTATATAATATATTATTGAAACAGGTACACTCTAACTGTCCATATTATACTAGAATGTGGGAACGAGAACTAGGACAAGAGATTTCAACAGAGGATTGGAATCGATCCTTTGCTTTAACATTTAGATCTAGTATCTCGAGTAAAGCTCAAGAACGAAATTATAAAATAATTTAAAAATGGTTTAGGTGCCCGACTACCCTGCATATAATTTACCCAGTTTTATCTAAGCAATGCTGGAGATGCGGTCACTAAGAGGGAAATATGCTGCATATTTGGTGGTCATGTGAACAGATTAAATGAACTAGTATGTTGCGCTCGGTGTTGGTGGATCTCTTTGGTTTGGGGTAGGTTTAGTTGTCACTAAACACAATGTCAAACTATATACGGTGAAAATGGTGATAAATAATTCTATGTGATAAATTAATAGATAGTACTTAAAATCGTGCTAATTTGTGATCTATAAATAAACTATATATAAACATATGTTGTTGATTAAATAGTGTATATAAATTATTCTGTGGTGACTCTAATTGTGGAGGATTACCGTGGTAGCGGTATATTGCTTATACCTAAAAAATTCATTAATACCACTATAAGTGTCTCAACATGGCTTGTTAGTGAATTACAATATAGTGAATGTATACTTTGTAAATTGTATCAAGAAGTAAAAACTATCAAAAAATCGAAAAACTAATAACACTAACAAGCCATGTTGAGACACTTATAGTGGTATTAATGAATTTTTTAGGTATAAGCAATATACCGCTACCACGGTAATCCTCCACAATTAGAGTCACCACAGAATAATTTATATACACTATTTAATCAACAACATATGTTTATATATAATTTATTTATAGATCACAAATTAGCACGATTTTAAGTACTATCTATTAATTTATCACATAGAATTATTTATCACCATTTTCACCGTATATAGTTTGACATTGTGTTTAGTGACAACTAAACCTACCCCAAACCAAAGAGATCCACCAACACCGAGCGCAACATACTAGTTCATTTTGCCTGATTTATATCAACACATTGGTGCAGCTGGTGACAAAATATAGCTACTCCTAGCGCAACTAATTGATTTGAATAATGTGAACAGATTAGACCATATTGGGAAACCATAGTTAATCTATGTGAGAAGATTATTGAGATCAACTGATCAGTAACACCAGAAATAGCTTTGCTTTCAATTATACCAGGAGATATTCGCAATGGTTAAAGAGGCCTAATGCAACATCTTTTAGTGGCAGCCAGAACGGTGATACCACGGTACAGGAGATCTTCAGAGATGCCGCAGATTAGAGAGTGGGTAGGCGAAGTTAATTTTATTATGAGGATGGAGGAATTTACGTCTCGACTGTCAGATAGATATCCTGAATCCTGAATTCTTGGAAATATTTTTTAACAACTAGCACATTGCAGCAATTCCTATGAGATTAGGTGAAAGGAGTAGAAATATGTTGGAAAGGAAGAATAATATATGAGGAGAGGGGAGGAAAAGAAGGGAAAAATTATACAATCAGACATGGGTTTTTTTGGGGGGGGCTGTGTTTATTTTGGTATGAGATGAGTGAATTAAGGTAAATGGGAAATTAAAAATTCTGTAGCCTCCGCTTCCCTCCAATAGATAGTAGGGGGTATTAAGCAAATGGAAATGGCAAAGTGAAGACATTTGGGGGGTTATGCTAACATATGTATGTAAGAATTAAATATATAGTGTGGGATGTTGTAAATTGTGGTGACAACGAGAAGTTAAACTTGTATGTAAATGAGATATGTGTATGTTGATGCTTTGTTATATATATATATTTTGTATGTATGTATATTTTGTATAAATAATAAAAAGATATTAAACAAACAGCAAAAAAAAAAAAGAAAGAAGGAAAAGAAAAAAGAAAAACGATTTCCAACGAACATTCCAAAACCAAGATTTTAACCGTGTATACCCAGCTTTAGTGGCTCAATGTAATTACTGACTTAACAACTGTTAAGATATCAGCCACAGTAGGAGTGCATTGTTTACAATTAATAACACAAGTTTTTTGTAGCGCTTTAAAACAGGAAGCAGAGTCTTACATCAAGGTCTTTTTTTCTCACATCTAAAAAAACATTATTGAAGAAAAACTTCCTTCCTGTAGCAAGATTTTATATTAAGTACAAGAATATCTACACGTGCATGGGACACCACATCTATTTGTCCAAAATGCCAACGTGTTGGAAAATCTACTAGTTTAAGACGCACTTTCGGGAATTAACATAAGCACAGAGGCTGCTTTATTCCTGTTTCGGTAAAAGCTCTCCTCTGATATAGGTTGCGTGTGAATTACATATTTACATCTTGCCTGCCATGACATCACTCACCCCTGGAGTTATTACATACAGTATCAGAAATTCATTACATATTTACAAATTATATATTTACTATCAGAAATTCTTTTTAGAATTATACTTACTGGTGTTTTTGGGAAGTCCATCTCCGATAGTTATTGCTAGGGTCTTCCCTCCTGGTTTTAGCTGAGAAATGTCTCCTTGTCCCCTAAGAAATGAAATGCTTCTGGTGCCACCTCCTCCCCAGCCTTCTTTTTTTACTTTAAGCTGTAGTCTGAAGAGAAAATGGTCATTGATATTAGGTATATCTGAGACTGATCCCTGTGCTGTCATGTCAACCCTAATGGGAAAGTTGATTATTCCATACCATCAGCACATTCGTTCATCAAATGTTCTTACTGAACCTTTCATTACTTTACATTTTATTCTAGGAATGAAATAATGCTCCTTTTTATGAATACCTTAATGCCACTCTGATATCTACTTACAAACTTCACATACAATACATTCAGGCACATAGAAATATACCACTAAATAATTCTTACGTGTCAGCGAAGTTTAGGGCAAGTTTATTCTTGGTTAGCTCCTCATACCGCTTGCACATCAGACTAATTAATTCAGTTTTGAACATAGACTCCATTAGGGTATCAAGTTCGGCTTCGTGTAAGATAAAGAAATCATCTTGGTGGGTGCTGGATACAGACAAAAAAAAGCCAAAACTATTTGTATAGGTGATGGTTATTTATATTAGAAATATTTCTGGCACCAGTATGTTCACTAGACCGTTTGTTACTAGCCTTGTGACAGTAGAATTATTTTCAGAAAAGCACTTTAGTTGCCTGAGGGCTTGTTCACACCAAATGCAGACCAGATCTGCATGAGTTTCTGCACATGCAGTGCAGTGTGTTTTGCCACGTTCCGAGCCGTTTTTGTTTCAGGGTTTTTGTTTTTTTTTAGCCTAAAATGGGCTTTCAGTGTGCCCCAGGGCGTTTGCATGCGTTTTTGATGCATTTGCATGTGTTCCAGAGCAGGTAAAATTGGGCTTGCGGCAGTTTTTTTTACATGCTCTGGAAAAGAACGCTGCGGTGTGAACTAGAGCCCAAAATACCATTGGCATTTATTGGACGCAGTTTTGATCCAGTCTGTAACTGCTCTGCTCCTGCTCCGCGCTTGGTGTGAACTAGCCCTAAAAGGGCATGTTTACATATATTGTATTGCTGTACTATATTTCAGTAGTCATATTTTATAGACTAGTTTGTACGTTTCCTCCTAATGTCTACCTGCATGTCATGCTGTTCAGTTCAATTCCTTGCTGAACTGAGTTTGTACTTGATGCTTAGTTATGTTGTGAAGTGTACTTATTACTTTTAAAGCTGAACTTTAGGCACAAAAACTTTTACCTAAATACAGTATATTCTTCGATAGGGATGAGCTCAGGTTTGGACCAAACCCAGTTCAAACCTGATCTCCTCTAAACCCGGAAGGACCCCTCCCAAACACGGATGGTAGCTCCTTCCGTGCCACCAAAGCTGGTGTTGAATTCCCTGATGTAAGCAAAGGGGCAAGGTGCTCTGAGGTCATTGACCTTATATAAAGCTACATGCCTAATTTACTTAGTATGACCACATACTCATATTAAGTAAATTACATCAGCACACGCAACTTGCCTCTTTGTTTACATGCAGCTCCGCCTGTAGTGGCAAGCCCCACCCACTACAGACTGCCTGCAGAAAACTAGATATGAAAGGTGGATACAAGACCAGTCACCCTGCACAAGGAGAGAACAGCAGTGACTGGTTTATATTACAGGAAGCTTCTGCAGAGAGACACTGTTTTACACTGGATTACTGCACAGATGTGGAAGAAATACAAAAAGCACACCAACACGCAAGTAAGAATACATACAGTATGGATCTTATATAAAGACAATATATTTATTAGCTTTAACCATGGAGCTTAAATGATCATCTTTTGAGCATCTGTTCCTGCTACAGACTTTAAAGTCTTTACATTTGAAATCACATGCATTCTCCCCTATTCACAATCCTATGACAGCAATGTCTGTGGCCACTGTGTGCAGAAGCCTATATGAATTATAACAGCACAGTCACTTACCTGCCCACATATGTAATCCACACAGCAGTATTACCTTTACAGACCTTGTAGTAGGTGTTATTGAATGGGTAGGGCATGTTTTCTTAACCCCCACCCCCCAGGGCTTTTGCCTGTATAACTGCTGTGTAGCCAAACATCTAGGCAGGAGCCAATTCACATCTAGGCAAAAGCCAATTTCTAAACATAAACTAAAGCCAATAAAAAAATAAAGAATTTACAGATGGCACTTTCAGGGAAAATAAACATTTGCCTCTCTGCTGCCTTTAAAAACGACCTCTGCCTGCAGCAGTCAGGGGGCCCGTCACTGGTCCCCGCTAAAAGAAGCCTCCGGTGCAGCTGCGGCCACAGCAGACCCCCCCATAACCAGGGTCCAGGGAGCCCCTATTGGCCACCAGGGAGCCCCCACTGAGCACCAGGGTAAGGTGACACATTTTTTTAAATAAAATCCGGGGACATTTTTAAATGGTTCCGGCAACATAAACATAAGTGCAGCCTCCCGTCTCCCACGTTGTCAGAAGATTGCACGCACTGTCTGCAGCTTCTTAGAAGATACGCTATTAGCGTAGCGGGCGCTTTGCAAAATGCACAGGCAGCTTCCTACGCTACGCTAATAGCGTATCTTCTCAGAATCTGCACACAGTGCGCGCAATCTTCTAACAGCGTGGGGGGGAAAAATATATTTTATGTTCCCGAGGACATAGTTTGTCAGGGGACGGTCTCCTCAATCCGGGGACTGTCCCCAGAAATCAGGGATGAATGTAGAGGGATGAATTAAAATCAATGATTGAAAAAGTTCTCCAAGTTTTCAATCATCGATTATCGGCTTTCAATTAGTTGGCCCTGTTCACGGCTCCACACACGCCGCATGCCGCACCTCCTCCCCGCCTCACGCTTGCCGCTGCTAGACCCGCCTGCCTGCATCAACATTGCGCTGTATAGAGGAATACAAATCCCAGCAATACTATATTATACCGCGCAATGCGGAATACCACCAGCTATAGAGGACTACAACAAATCCCAGCAATAGTACATTATACAGCGCAATGCAGAATACCACCAGCTATAATGTACTATTGCTGGAGGTATTCTGCATTGCGCTGTATAATGTATTACTGGGGTTTGTAGTCCTCTATAGCCGGTGAAATTATGCATTGATTGCTGTATAATTTTACACTTTCCATTTCACTATATTGCACACCACACTTTTTTTTGTTCCACTGCTCTAAGCTTGCTCCTGTGATGGACTACAATCTCAATGCAAACTAGTAGTCCATCACTGTAGCCATTTTATTTATCCCGATTAACCGGTTAATCAAACTCAATAGTCGGCTAACTAATCGATTTTGAAAATAATTGTTCGCTGCAGCTCTAGATAAATGGTCACCCTACACCAGGGATCCCCCACTAACCACCAGGGATCCCCCCACTAAGCACCAGGGAGCCTCCACTGGCCACCACAGAGCCCCCCACTAAGCACTAGGGAGCCCCCACTACCCACCTGGGAGCTATCACATAGCCACCACTAATTATTAGGGAGCCCCCACTGGCCACCACAGATCCCGCACTGACCAGCAGAGAGCCAACACTGACTACCTGACAGTCTGCATTGGCCACCTGAGAGCCTAATTAGGGAGCTGCCTCTGCTGCACCCACACGCACCCGTGAAATTCTCTGGACCCCTGGTGAGAGCCGGCACAACCCTCCTGAGACCCTGGTGACATCGGCGGTGAACCCAGAGCAACAGAGTATGTAGCTTCATATTATTCTGCATTGCTGTAATATATATTGCTGACATTTGTAGTTCTCCAAAGCTGATGCTGTTCTGCATTGCTGTATAATGGTATTGCTGGGAATTGTAGTTCTCTATAGCTGTTGGTAGTCATTATTGCTGGGATTTATAGTCCTCTATAGCTGATGGTATTCTGCATTGTTGTGTAATGTAGTGCTTGGAACTGTAGTTCTCTATAGCCAAGGCTTGAAAAATTTGATAGTGTCTCACCAGTCAGTCAAACATTTCACCAGTCAGCATGACCGGACTATAGCCTTGCAATTTATGTTAAAAAAGTTTGGGGGCAGATAGAGCTTTCTTTTGGAGGTATATAATCACCACTGAGGGGGGAGGGGGGTATTTTTTTAAAACTATATAATAAAAAAAGTACCATAAATGTAGAAAAAAACAAAAAAGTTTCCCTACGTTATGTTATAAAACATTTATCACTCGGCTGTAGAGCCTCAAATCATCTCTAAATTGGTGCTGACACTGTCCTTCCTTATGGAGGGTGGCCAGTGCTGGATTTCCCATCAGGCAATGTAGGTATCTGCCTACAGGCGCCCGCCACATATATAAATTTATGTTTTTTTACAGTCCTCCCGGCCTGCGACCTGGGAAGACAGACTTGACCTGAAAGACGGGTGAGGGGAGCTGAGCGGGGCAGAGTGTGCGCCGCCCTATTCCGCATTCCCGACATCATTACCCGTGCTGCCTGAGACCTGCCCTCCTTCCCTGCACTGTCCCCGCCTCTCCCAGGGATTGGTCCCGACTCCTACTCCTCCCCGTCCTCGCTACAGCCTCATCTTACCTTCTCCTAACCTGTGGCCACGCTTACCCATTGCCAATAGACGAACAAGAGAGGAGATACTTATGGGAACAAAAAAGGACAGATCTGACCAGAGAGTCCGCATGATAACCCAATATGGATCTGGGTGGAATACACTGAAACACACCTTAAATAAACACTGGAATGTCTTGCAATTATGCCCCATACTTCGAAATATAGTGGGCCCCTACCCCCTAATGACAGCACGGAGAGCGCGAAACCTACAAGACCAATTAGTCACCTCTGAGTTTAGACCTAGTACCCAGGAGACCTGGCTGTCCAAAAGTGGTAAACCCAAGGGAATGTTTGCATGTGGAAATGTCAGATCTGTTATATACCTAATCGAATGTCCATGCAAAAAATTCTATATTGGAAAAACCAAGCGAGAACTTCGAGTGAGAATTGGGGAACAGCTCAGGGACATAAAGAACAAAGATAAAGAAAGTCCCCTTGCACAGCATTTTACTAAATACCATAAGGGATTAACAACAGGTATAAATCAGGGGAATTTATGTACTCAACCTACCAGCACGTAGAGGGGACTACAATACTGTACTTCTCCAAAAGGAGAAAATGTGGATATACAAATTAAACACAATGGCCCCATATGGTCTTAATAATAAGTGCAACCTACAAGTTTTTCTGTAATGGTTATCCCTTTAATATAAAGTAAAAAGAGTGTTCCCTATGCGCCTTGAGTGTTTTTATATCATTCATTGAACAACTAAAAAATCTCCCCTTTTAAAACTAGAATGAAAAACATAATTTATGGTTTACTATAAACAAGTAAATTGATTCTATATAAAGGTTCCCTTCTGGAATGGGTGACTACTGCGATATTGCGACGTGTATGTGATAAGAATTTATTAATACCTCAGACTTGTTGTCAATTGTATACCTATATCTGCTAATTGAGATATGTGCTTCCTTAAATCACCCTTCTAATGTACAATTCGTTTTTTTATTTCACTGTATGAATG